AAAATCAACAAAAAACTATGAACCAGAGATGCTTTTTGGGGGTGGGGGGTGGGAGGGGAAGGATTGGGGTCAGAATGGGGCGTTTGCAATTGTATGGGGGAATATAAAAATAAAATTTAATATTAAAAAAAAAATTCTTCATTATCTTTTTGAAATTCACTGTTTTGATGAGTATAAACATAATTTTCCCATACATTCTTTTATTGATGAGCATTTAAATTATTTCCTACTTTTTTTTTCAATAACGAGCAAAGCTGTGATGAACGTGCTAGCATACAATTTTGTGTGCACATATGATAGTTTGTTTAGGTATATTCCTATTGCAATAAATGATACATATATATTTTCAGCTTTGTTGGATGCTGCCAAATTACTATCCAAAGTAATTAGATCAGTGTATACACCCCACTAGGGTATATAACAATTCCATTTCCCCCACATCTTTATGAATTGTGCTTTATATTATCAGACTATATTTTTATGAAGACTATCATTTTATTTACATATTGTGTAGTAGGAATGAATATGTGTCATATGTATAGTGGCCAGATAAATATTCTCTTCTGTGAAATAGTTGCTCATTAAGATATTTCAACACTTAGATTTTATTTTAAACATTAAATTGATATGACTTGTCATTTTTATTAGTAGCAATTAAAATGGATGACTACTGGAAACCAGTCCTTTTTAAATTATATATATCATATTTTAGATTGTGGCATATATTTTAACCTTTTTTTCTATGTTCTCCACCATACAGATGTTTTTAAATATTGACACAGTCAAATATTTCAGTATTTTCCTTTATAGTTGCAGTATTTTTTGTCTTGTTTATGAATAATTTTCCTACCAGAATGTCATAAATATACTTTCCTCCAAGATTTGCAAGTTTTTTTTTTATGTTTAATTCCTTAGTTCCTCTGGCATTAACTTTGAGGATGATGTAAAATCTAATTTTATCTTTTTCCAAATATAAAACCAATTGTTCTGGCCCCCCCCCAAAAAAAATGCCTGAATAAGTACCTTAAAGAAAACAGTCGGTGAGAATAAACTAATAGAGAGAACACAGAAAATGTGACTACCGCATAATAATTTCCTGCAGTATCAGGGACTGCATACTGGTGAAGTCCAACATTGACAGCCATTAAAAAAAGAGCAGGAGGAAATCTAGGAGAGAGCTTATGTGGAAACTGAATAAAGAATCACTTCGATAAATGCAGATAAACTGTCCAAGGTTTGAACACTGGAAAAGTAGTGCAGTGTGGCCAATATCACTGGCCACTCTCCCAGCCTCCTGCTAGCCTCCTGCCAGGCAAGCACTGACTGACCTGAGAGGTTCTGGCTTGGGGCTTCCTCCACAGTCCACAGCTGTACTCCCTTGTCCAACCTGATGCTCTCCTCATGATCGGTAACACAATATCCTGTGATGAGGAACAGTGTTGGTTCGGTCAAGTTAAACTTCAGCTTTGAAGACTAACGAAAGCAGTGTGAAGAGCTGTGCAATGAAGGTCAACTGGAACTTTTCAGAAATAGGGCGAACACCCACAATCTAGTCTGTTTGCCATGTTCAACCTCACCACCACCCAATTTCACAAGAAAGACCACACTTAATCAGTGTAGAAAACAGCACTTGCACTCGTGTTACACTGGAGCGTCCTCACAGAGGGACACCAGGTGACTGCAGGTCTCCAGCATCACATCCCGGTACAGGGTCCTCTGAGCATCATTCAGGTCCTCCCACTCCTGCCAGGGGAAGTTCACAGCCACATCCTCCAATGACACCATCCCCTGTGAGGGAACATTTCTCCTCATTTCAGGGCTGTCAGCCTGGTTCACACAGCAATAGTGTAAACGCTCCTTCTTGTGTTCTTGTACAGGAGGCACCATCTTCCTACTCACACTGTGCTGTGAACAGAATTATCAGGGGAAATAGTCTTACCTCTAGATTAACCCATTTGCTCCTAAAAGAACCACAATAGTTTACCATACAAATTTGGAAGTGTCTTTGAGTCTGTGAATACAAGGATGAATAAAATCTTCTCCTTGAAGAGCTTATCACCTGGTTGGCACTTAGAATAGACACAAACGTGGAATAACGTGCTATGTAGTGGTGTGAAAAGCCTGCTGAATGCAGACACAGTACAAAAGAAGAAAAACCAACACTTTGTAGTGCTGGGTTACACATCAATGAAGACCCAAACACTTAGCTCTTCCTTGTAAATCACACTGTCATGAGGATGAGAAAACAGCAGATGTCATAGAGTGAGAAAATAAAAAACACTCGCCATGATAACTGAACTGCAGAGAGCACACTGCCAGGCAGAGTCCCCAGCAGTAAGGCATTACCCCAGGAGCTAGAGGAGGGAAAGCCGAGGGAGACGAGGAAAGGGAAGTCACACAGCAGCGGCAGGTGGCAGTGTCAGGGGCAGACCCAGAGGCACCCTGAGACCCCAGTCCCTGCACACCCTCCACCGGCACTGCCATCTGCTGTGTGCAGAGCAAACACCCCCTCACGTAAAAGCCCTGCTGTGGAAAACAAAAGGGTTGGGGTGCAAGGGAGAGGAGAAAGGACAGGGTTAAACAGTTTCCAGTGAACCAAAGCCTCCAGGGCCTGTGGGGTAAGTCCCATGACCCCCACAGTGATGACCCCAGCTTTGGGCACCACCTGCCACATCCTCTCTGCAAGTCCCCCCTACAGGGGCTGTTGGGGGAGAGGACACACCTGCCCTGCCCTCAGGTTCCTGAGTTTTTGGGGACTTGCTGTCGGGGTCTCCGCCATCTCGCATGTCTGTCCTGGAACAGACCTGCCCCAACAAGGGGCCTGAGCCACGAGTGGTCTCTGTTCCCCCCCACCCCCACCTCTTTCAGTCCTGCCCATGGTGCAGAGTGATTCCCAGACCCACTGCGGGGACATCCCTGGGGCAAACACCTGCCCAAGAGGGTGGCTTCTGCACGGGATTCTCCAGCTCGCCAGGGAGGTCCTCGGGAATGTGGAAGGGGAGACCCCAGCAGGCGGCACCTCCGTGCACCCCTCTACCTGCAAGGGAGCAGAAGGCAGGAACTGAGACCTAGAGCGCAGCATTTGGGGGTGGGATCCATATAGCTGCGGGCACAGCGCCGGGTGAACATGCAGCAGACACAGCACCCGGCTTGAACGACAGCCCCTGTGTTGAGGCGCCTGCCCCCTTTTATCAGAGAACCACTGGGGAAAAGCACAGGTCAGCAAGTGCAGGTCTCTGGTGCCACCTGGTGACTAGAACAAAGCCACTGATGAGCTGATTCCCTGCTGGAACTGAGTAAACACAGAGGGTGGGAACCGCAAGGGGCAGAGCCCAGCAACAGGGCATCAGCACCCTGGTGGCGTTTTGGCTCATGGTGCTGGACTCGGTCTGGTGAAAAGATGTCAGCAGGTTGACTCTGTGTTGAGGACTCTCCAGGCCAACTATATGGAACTTAAGCATCTGTGGACTTCTGCTATCTGCTGGGGGTGTGGGGGTGTCATTCCTAAATCCAATTCCCCCAGATACCAAGGGATGACTGTAAAGTTTCTGGGGGCTCAAAAGTCATACATGGATTTTCCACCGCCCGGAATCAGCACCCCAACCCCATGTTGCTTAAGGGCCAGTCAACTGTAAAAGCAAAACCAATCATGAGAACTGAAAATACATGTGGTTCTGCTGGCAGGACAATCACAGTCACTGCTACTACAATTGTAATTTGATGCCACCATTAAATAAAATGCTAAATTTCAGTTAGAATTAGGGAAAATCAAGATGCATTTTACCTCTTCCCTGATTCCATACTCCTGTCTAATTGAAGGATAAAGGGCTGAGTTCAGTGAACAGGGAGTGTTCAAGGTGGGGAATCTGAGCAGGTTGGAGACCAGCTCCAGCTAGATGTCCTGTCAGGGATCTCAGCAGGAGAGGACCGCCTTGGTGAAGTTTTTCGGAGGGCTGAGGGGAAGTGGAGCCAGGCAGGAGTGAGGAAGACACAGACACCGTCTCTCATGCAAGTACCTCCTCCTGAGGGTCTCAGCAGGTCTTTTCTTATACCTTAAGGCCAGCGGTGAGATGACATCAGCATAAGCATCAAAGCAGAACAGAGACCATCATTACATATTTTCTCATGAACATACAAAGACCCTCTTGATCTCATACTACAAAAGGACACTTCCTTAATCTGATTAAGAAAATCTACAGGGACAATGACTCCCTTAGGTACTCTTTTTCTAACGTAACCCATTGTCTAAGACAGTACAATGTTCAGTAACAATCAATCACCCTGTCAAGCCTTCCTAATTTCTGAGTGGACATAAAAGTCCATTTTTATGCTGTATTACTAAAATCAACCCATTCCCTAGTACTCAATTCCTCTAGCCCATTATCAATTACTTCAAAGTGATCTGAAGGAACTCATCAATACTCTTCAGTTCTACAAAAATCTAACTTCCGGGCCTGCCTGGTGGCACAGCGGTTGAGCGCT